ACACACACACACACACACAGATATATACACACACACACAAACACACACACACACTTATTGTGTCATATTGATGCTGATGATTCACTGACACGAGCACAACATATTCACTTTATAATTAGTGTTAAATCAAAGTTATGGATTTAACCCTCAATGTAACAGTAAAGTTTTATCTTGAAAACTTTAAAAACTTCCGGTCTGTCACTGTGTCGCTTCTGTATTTGACGAGGCCGAAAATAAAAGTGACGGTGCAGTTCGCAGCTTCGCCGCTGGAGGACGCTGCGACAAAGAGACTGTGAACGCGTCATTCAGTTCTTCATTTTAGTCCTAATTTATTTTCATCCTGTCAGAAATATCTTCACACATCTTCGTGTTGATCAGTTTCATTAGCTCTTATTTTGAAAGTTTTTATGTTTTTATGTTCTCATGCTTCTTGATGACGGAAACATTCAACCAGTCTCTGTTTCAACTCTGCTCAACTCAGTCCGACATGTATGTTCCGTCCGACATGTATGTTCCGTCCGACATGTATGTTCCGTCCGACATGTATGTTCCGTCCGACATGTATGTTCTCTTCATGTAAAAAAAATAATCAAATTGTACTTAGTGCACACAACAATGTTCCCTCATGGATGATGAAGTCTCTCTCTCTCTCTCTCTCTCTCTGTCTCTCTCTCTGTCTCTCTCTCTCTCTCTCTTACTCTCTCTGTCTCTCTCTCTCTCTCTCTCTCTCTCTCTCTTACTCTCTCTGTCTCTCTCTCTCTCTCTCTCTCTCTCTCTATCTATCATCTAAAATATTTCCTGCAGCACTTGAAGGCAGCAGCAGACCGGCCCCGCCCTCTTCGCCTCAGTTGGACGGAGCTGAAGCTGTAATTGGCTCAGGCCTAGTGACGTAAGAGGGCCAGCGACAAACCCGGAAGCGAGCGGCGCTGAACGAGGAGCGCGCGAGGTGAGTTTAACATCAACCGAGTGATCAGCTGCACGTGCGCGTCAACAACACAGCGTCACACTTCCGTTCATATGTTCCGTGAGTGTAGTTAAATACTTCCACCACTTCATCAACACACATACATGTATACATGTACACAAACCTGTACACGTAGTATTTCATAATACATTATAAACTAAGCCTAACTACTGTAATACTGCAGTACAATACTCCATTACAAGTTAAAGTATGAATACTAGAGTATTGTAATACTCTATGAGTGAAGGTCCTGGGTAACTCAAGTGGTCGTTATCTGCAACTTCACCACTAGATGTCACTGAACCCTACAAGCTAGTATTTTCTGTCCCCTTCAGCCTAAAACATCCTGGTTACATGTGACATTGTGTGTGTGTGTGTGTGTGTGTGTAGAAATGGGCGGTCAGGTGTCGTCAGTGGACGGCGTGCACGTCGTAGTTGTGGGCGGAGGCTTTGGAGGCGTGGCGGCGGCTCAGCAGCTGAAATCTCAGGCCCTGAACTTCACCCTGATCGACATGAGAGACGCTTTTCATCACAACGTGGCGTCGCTGCGAGCTTCGGTGCAGCCGGGTAACTAAACTAACTTAACTAAAGATAACCTAATTAAACCTAACCTAACTAAACCTAACTTAACTAAAGATAACCTAACTAAACCTAACTTAACTAAA